CAAATAAGTTTAGTTTAGTTTTCATCTTTTTAAAATCAAACTGAAAAAAAATAAGAAAGAAATACTATAAATTTAAGAGGGGGGGGAGGGGCGGGAATCAATTAATTAGATTTTATTAAAAGATTATACACGACTTTTAAATTTCTTCATTCGATTAACTTTAATTTAATTTATTTTTATATAATATTTTTGTAAATCAATTTCAAATTTAATAATAATTCATCAAATGATGAATAGAACAAATAAGTTTAGTTTAGTTTTCATCTTTTTAAAATCAAACTGAAAAAAAATAAGAAAGAAATACTATAAATTTAAGAGGGGGGGGAGGGGCGGGAATCAATTAATTAGATTTTATTAAAAGATTATACACGACTTTTAAATTTCTTCATTCGATTAACTTTAATTTAATTTATTTTTATATAATATTTTTGTAAATCAATTTCAAATTTAATAATAATCAAATAGTGAGACATTTCATTGAGTTGGGATTTGAGCCCGAAACCAGAGCCCATACAGCCTTCTAAAAACAATGAAATGGAATTGGATTTGAGCCCAAAGCAAGAGCCCATTCAACCTTTCAAAGAAAAAAAAACAAATGGAAAAATGTTGCAAGTGGGAATCGAACCCAGACCCTCTTGGTTAGAGTTGAACCCCTTAACCACTGAGCCATGCCTCTCTTAAAAATTGAGGGGGTTCATTTTAATATATGTACTCATAAAATCAGAAATAGACCTTATATATACAGTGTAATTTTTCGATGAGGGGGTTCGGGTGAACCCCCTGACCTCCACGTGGGTCCGCCCCTGATCATAACAACATTCTTGACAGCATTAGTGATGCTAATCATATGGAAGACAAATATCATTCTCATTTTGGCATTTTTCTTGCCTTATATAATAATTGAAGGTTGTTTCATGACATCTTTGCTCAATAAAATACCACAAGGAGGATGGGTGCCATTTGCTATTTCTGCTTTCTTCTTGACTATCATGCTATCTTGGACATATGGAAGGAGTAAGAAAAAAGAATATGAAGCAGATAGAAAGATGAGTTTACCTGATCTAGACCAAATGCTATCAAGCTATAGTACATACCGAGCACCAGGAATTTGCTTCTTTTTCACTGATCTCAGAAATGGCATTCCACCCATAATCTGTCATTACATTCAGCACACAAATTCTGTAAGAGAAATCCTGGTAATTGTCACTGTTAGAACTCTTCCCATCAAAACCGTCCTGGTGGAGGAACGTTACAATGTGGGGAAGACGGGAGTTGAAGGATTTTATCGGTGTTTGATTCAGTTTGGATATAAGGATTCTCAAAGCATGGAAGGAGATGACTTTGTTACTTTAATGATCACAAAACTCCAAGACCAAGCCGAGTCTACTAGTGAAAAACGAAAAATAGATGCAGCTGCTGAAAGAGGACCCGTTTTTGTGTTAGGAAGAACCATTCTCAAAGCAAATAAAGGTTGGTTTGCTCGCTTCACTATAGAGTACTTGTACAGGTTTCTTCAGAAGAATAGCAGGGCAGCTATTTCTGCACTTCAAATTCCACCAGATAAAACACTTCAAGTTGGTATGGTTTATGAAATCTAAAAAGGTGTCTTTTCAGCATAAACTGGCCTCCGAAACACGAACATATTCCTAAGTAGCGCATCCCAGAAATACAAAATAGTATTTTTCCTGTAACCTATTATAGCTACTCAGTCTTTTTCACAATAATAGCAAGAACATGCAATGATTCTAATGAAATAAATTGCAGTTCAAGGTATTTTTGCTCATGTAGCATGAAAGGGTACATGACCCCCACTATTTTGTTGTTGTTATTGCTTTTTTATCGACTATACACTGCTTTTCTTATTTAACTGCTATGTTTTCTTCATTGTCTTCTTCTTTTACTTGAATTTGACGCACTTGAGCCGAGGGTCTTTCGGAAACAACCTCTCTACTTCCACGAGGTAGTGGTAAGGTCTGTGTATACTCTATCCTTCGTAGACCCTACTTAGTGGGATTTCACTGAGTATGTTGTTGTTGTAGCATGAAAGGGCAATATATGTGTAACACGTTTAACATAACACCATATACTAGTTCAAGAAAAAGACCCATTTCATATTATCAACAGATTGACGTGCAATTAAACTTCCCTTTTTAGGGTGTATCTTTAATCCTCCAAGCACAATCTTTCTATGATTATGCAATTCTGTATACAGTAGCCATATACAAGTTCAAAGATTACATCTTGCATTCTGCGAACCATGGTCCAATTTTAAGGAATTCGGGGATCTTCGGACTACCAGAAGAATCTGACAGACCACAAAACAGAAGAGGATTTGTTTCCAGTCTCTAGACATATCACCTCTATTTTACTTACCTGTTCTATTAAATCCTAATTTCTGTTTAGCGGCCAGAAAAACAGATCATGAAACAAACCAACAAAGCAAATAAAATCGGAAATACAGATATCACGAAGAAGGCCAGTTAGCTTCCCTCAAATCTCAAATTTGACACGGTATATATGACTTTCCTCCCCACCTAAGAAGACATGGATTTAACAAATTGCAACTCAAAAGTAAAATTCCACAATTAATTCACACATAAAAGGCAAATATCTAACATACTTGAATGTAAAAAGGCCGTCCCCTCACACATATGACATTGTATCTTGGTTGTTCCTGTCTGTGTGCAGTATCCGGCAGACCGGCAGCAAAGGATCATCAGCAGAGGGGCTACTGATTTCATTCATCACAAATGCTGCAGTCAGTCATCTTTCTTCTTCTTTTTCAATCACTTATTCAAAATCACTCGCACCAAGCAATGAAGTGAAGTAGATATGCTAATGATATGGCATATGACATATCCACTTGTCCATATTCCAAAAACCTACTCTTCAATTTTTTCAAACCACTATTTCCAAAAATAGATGGATACTTTTAACCTATAAAGAAAAACATTATTCCCCTCTCTTCATTTTTTACTCCACACGTTTGCACTTCCAATAATAGTTGTCCACTATTGACTTGACATATTCCTTGAGAAATTATAAATAGAAGGATAATTTTATTATATCATCCTTTGAATATAATAAATACAATGTTTTAAAAAATGTAATATGGAAAATGACTATACTTAATGATAAGAGTAAATTAGGAACTAAGTGGTCATTTGGTAGAGTGTATTAGGAAAAATAATGCGTGCATTAGGTGTGTGTATTAGTAATACCTTGTTTGGTACACTTTTTCATGTCATGTATAACTAATGCAAGCATTAGTTATACACTGGGGTTGTTTGGTACAAAAGTGAATAATGCAGGGATTACTAATGCAGGGATTAATAGTGTAGGGATTAGTAATGCAGAGTTTATTTTTACCAAGTGTTTGGTTCATTGGTTACAACCCCATTTTAGAATTGGGTTAAAACTTTATTAAAAAAACTTATTTCCAATTATACCCTTGAATTATTATGTAATTAGGTTAAGGTAAATAATTGCCGGACAATATTATTTTTTTACGGCCTTCTAACTAGCTATGAGAAGAACAATTTTGTTGTCATGTTTGCCTTTTTTTCACTTAAATTATTTGAGGATAAAGATTGTCATCTTAGTAAATTGATTACTTACAAAATGTCAATTTTCAATTTTAAAAAAAGAAGATAAACTATCAACTTTTAAAATTGAAAAGACGTAAACAATAGTAAAACTGAATAAATCATCTACATTTACAAAATTGCAAGTTGTAGTTTTAACATGTATGCAATTTTATAATTTGTTCAAATACAAATAATTAGAAACCACACAAATATTGCCCTTTTAATTAGTTAATGTTAAGCAACTCACGTTTCAAATATTGTATTAGTTTGTATTGGATTTATGTAGTAACAAACAACTTTTTCTAAATAATTTGTAAGCTAATTTATTTAAATAAATTTACTAGTACAAATATAAAACATAAAATCAAGAAAATAATTAAAATGATTTGAGGGATATTTTTGTCTTTACATAGACTTATCCCATAGTATTATATCCAATGTATTACTAATACCTCCAAATGGAAGGTATTAGTAATACACCCTATAATACCATGTAGGAGGTATAACTAATCCATGTATTAGTTATACATAGGGCCAAATTCCTACCAAACATAGTACTAAATAATATCATACATAATACATGAATTATTTATTTTAATGCGGCCTACCAAACGACCCCTATATTGTGTATTAAGTTGTGTATTACTAATACCAAAAAATCCTAGGTATTAGACTTTTAACACTTGCATTAGATTATATAATTACAAAACTACCCTCAAAGCCTTTTAAAAGAACATCTCCATTTTTCATGTTACTATATTTTAGAAACCTTTCATCTTCTATGTACTTTGTCAATGGAAATTTAAGAGTGAGTCTCTTTCTTCTTTAAGAATTTCGCTTCTATTTGTTGACAGTTTAATTGGAAATTATGTTCCCAGGGAGGAAAATGTGTACATGGCCAAGCTAGTTGAGCCAAAATTGAGGCTGAGCTTAGGGTTCCTATCACCATGTTAACGAGAGAGCTTGCAACTTTCATTTCAATAGAGGGTGAATTTTGGAGTATTTTTTTTTGCATTATTTATAAATTTGATTGTTGGTAATACTTTTTTGTATTTCAATTGCACTAGGAAATAAGATATGTGGCTGCTAAAGCATATCCCCAGACTCCTAGTGCATATACTGATTTTAATAAGGTATCGCTTTGCAGCTAGGAAATATCTCGGGTCTATGCGGTCGGTATCGCCCTTACATTCCATCAATTTTTATTTGGCATATACTGATCCTTAAAGCTTTCATTTGGCATATACTCATACATGAGAAACCTCTCATGCCTTCCAGTGCAAAATCTCCTAAGAGCAACGAGATGACGATGATGCAGTTAAGCAAGCAGTTATATTTCTTATTTTGACACAATAGTAACAACTATTTAATTTTATATTTGAAAAAAGAAGAAGAGGAGGAGTTAATAATGTTTTACAAAGAAATCTTTTTTGATGTTTTAGCAAAGAATCTTGTTAATGTACAAAGAAATAAAGTGTGAAAGGTATTTTTGTAAACATACATTTTTTTAATAGAAATTATGCAAGATTTGTTATTTCTAATACATCAAACCAAACAGTGTATAAGAAATAATACAGGCATAACTAATGCAAGCACTACTAATGCATGCATTACTAATACACCCTATTTTGCACTACTAATTCTTATCAATGGATTTCATAAAGTGAACAAGTATTGTTGGACATCTATTTTTAGTATAGTGGACAAGTATTGTTGGACGGAGGGAGTAGTTGATATATTTTTTATTTTTTAAGAAAACAAAGGTTGTATTATATTATTCTATTAAAATATGTTTAATATTATCTTGAACAATAATTTAATTTTTCTTGATATATTAAAAATGATAAATGAAAATAAAAATATATTTTAAAATAATAGACAAATAAAAATGAGAATATAAATTTTCATATTTTATCTTTAACATTAATTTACTTATTCGTCATATTAATATGAATATTATTAATAAAATATTTATAACAATTATTATCGTTTTAAGTTAGGTGCAAATTGCAAAGTCTAAATAGTACTATCATGTTCCAATTTAGACGACACATTTCATTTTTTGAGAGTTAAAGAATTTAAGTTTACAATTTAAAAATATATAGTAAAAGATTTACTTTTTGACAAATTTGTTTAAATTTGAAAATTCAAAAGTCTCACAAGTAGAAAAAACAAAAGTGAACAGAGAATAATAGGTTAATATCCTAGAAATTAAAATACAAATTATGAAGAATATTATTTTGTTCAAATGATGAAGTAGGGACAATTGGGTCCTGCTGTGAGAATCCAGGTGAGGTAACAGTCAGACACGACACGTTTGTTTCCACCAACCAACAATCTTTACACGTCGGCACTTTTCGCCACCCTCTTCCTTCCTTCCTTCCGTCGCCGGCGATGGCATGGTTTCAATCATCAAACCGGAAAGTCCAGTTACCGGCCCAAACCCGGCCGGTCCTTGACGATGACGAACGGATCGCTAACGACGACGAAGATGCTGAAAGTTTGAAGCTGACGCCCACGGATAGCAGTGTCACGGAAGATCAAAATCGAGATCCTTTCATGGGAGTAAAGGTACGGAGAAAAGCTTCGTTTCATAGAAACTACATCGGCGATTACCTTGACGTGCCTTCTCGACCCTATCTCATGAAGATTCTAGAAAAACAAGGTAATTCTGTGGTCAAAGCCACATCCTAAAATTCTCATAATTTATTTATTTATTCCTGTACAGGTGATTTCCGTTGCACAATTACTTGATCATTGGTTTGATTAATTAACGTTTGAAATTTACGTTCTACTTTTGATTTGATGCTTTGGGGTTAAAACTGAATATGCAGACGCCTAATTTTAATGCTACGTTTTTTCGCGAAATGTAAAATTAGCTCATATAGTATCTATTGGTGAAAGTACTCTTTCAACCTGTTGCCTTAAACATGTCATGACATTAATATGGCTATAGGGGTATGGTATTAGGTATAAAATTACTAGTTCAAAGTTAAAGAATTTCCAAATATAATGTGTACTTTTTAAGAACAAGTAATCTATAAAATAGAACAGAGGAAGAAGCTTATTTTTAACCTCTAGCATTCCCAGCAGTCTTTTGTAACTTTTGGTTTTGGTACCTTCTTGGTACTTGGTCAATAAACCTTTACCTTATCAAAAGAAAAAAACCTTTTGCATTGTGATTATAAAGGTACTACAATAACTTTAGTTGTTGTATGAGTTGGTTAGAATAATGTTTTCATCAATGTTATTTAAACGTTACAATGGTTTTTTTGAATGTTATTGAAAGCCTTTGTGGAATGATGCTTAGTGAGGGGCAATCGTCATAGGCGAAGCCATGGGGTTCATAGAAATGTCTGCTTCAAACAATGACCTGCAAGATGATCCGAATGAAAATCAATCGGTTTTTTGAATCTTGAACTTTGTGGAGTTTGTTTAGTGTTGGCAGTTGGCGTTATTGTATTTGAATGTTGAAATTGGTTATTTTAATTGCAAATTGATTATTACTGCACTAGTCCATATATATTTTGTATTTAGTAGTACTTCTTGTTTTCTCTTATAGTGCATTTTATTTCAAAGAAATGTGCACTTCATTTTCTCTTTTCATTCCAAGTTCCAAGGACCTTATCGCTTCTTTTCGCTTTTCTCTTTTAAAAACACTGAATTATTTCTAAACCAACATGTACTAGACCAATAGTAAGCTTGTAAATAAAATAATGTAAAACTAACAAAAGTAAATAATGAATTTCATGCTTGAAAAAGTACCATAAGCCTAAGTGGTTTATAAATAAATTTTTGTTAAAAATAATACGGAAAAAGAACAGGTGAGAAGTTAAACGGAAAAATGTTTGTTTAAAAAAAGACTCGGCATGATAACATTTAAAGGTTTTTCACTTATTACGGAAATAAGTTTTGTTTGATTTGAAACGACACATTTGGTAGTTTATTCTTTTTGTGAATATGTTTTCTTTTATTCTGTTAAAACACTTTACTTTAAGTTAAGCAGCATGTTTATTGTTTCTGGACAGCTTTCAAAAGCTTTTATGGGCGAAATATAGTTCGAGGTTGAGAAATTAGGAAAGCTGTAGGAGCTGTAAGTTGTATTTTGTTGAATAAATATGTAGTTGGATCATCCCTCTAGTGATATTCAGTTGGACGTTGTGTTTTTTCTCTTTTCCCATCTTTTACTAAAATATAAGAAATGAAATGTTAGTATTTATTTGCACCATGGGCTGGATTGAACCTGTGTAGCTGTTTTGGAAGTAACCTTTTTCTTTAAATGAAACTTTAAGAACTTTGGAGCTCACTTTATTCACGTCAAAATGAAAATCTTTATTTGTAGCTTGCAGTTCAACCCAATAGTCCTTGTTTTACTTGGTATTGTAGTTAGGTTGAGGATTTCTTTGTTCTTATCCCCAAAAAAAGTTGGGATATTCTTGGTTTCATTCAATGTTTTGTGCTCTTTTTTTCTTTGTCATTGAGTTTTAAAAACCGATTTTTCGGCAATTACTTGTTATGTGTTTCACAATTGATTACCATTCTCCAGATTTATGAGTCTTCAACTGTGTTTCTTGTCTGCATTTTCCATGCTTGATTTTCTTGAATGTCCACATTATAGTCGAGTCATCTCTTATTGTAGAATGGCATTTCAAGTTGTTTGCATGATTTTAAGAAGTACAGATGGAAACTTAAGTATAAACAGACTTCGTAGAAGTTTTTACCACCTTTAGTGGCTTTAACATCGTTCACCGCTGTTTGCATCTTGAGGTAGAGCCTTATTTCTTTAGAAAGGTTCTCAAAGTTAGTCTTGGTGGAAGTTGTATTTATAGAAGAATTTTCAGAGGAGATGAGCTCATAATATATCTACTATAAGCTGGAGACATGTATGCATATACCCAGTTGTACACTGCACACTAAGTAATCCTCACACTTTTCAGTAAGAACCATCTTACAATTCTTCATCCCAGACAAAGAGAAACTGAAACTATCCTTCAATGCTCTTTTTGCAGTAAGTAATGCATGGCTTCAGAGAATTTGCTTGGTGTGTCTAGATTGCTATGCAATTGCTTTAGTAGTTAGTTTCAGCTGCAAGGCAGACTGTAATAATAGCTGATAATATTGCTTTCCTTGGTGATGGATGAATTGACGCGGCACATACAAGGGGAGGTGCCATGGTGTATGCTTTTGTTGATGACATAGTATTGATTGACAAGACTTGCGAGGGAGTTAATGATAAGCTAGAGGTTTGGAGACATAACCTTGAGTCTAAGGGGTTCAAGTTGAGCAAGACTAAAACAGAGTACTTGAAGTGCAAGTTCAGTGACGTAACCCACGAGGCATATGTGGAAGTGAGGATTGATACTTAAGTACTTGAAGTGCAAGTTCAGTGTCGTAGCTCCTGAGGCAAATGTGGAAGTGAAGATTGATGCTCAAGTTATCTTTATGAAAGGAAGTTTCAAGTATATTGGGTCTATAATCCATAGAAATGGGAAGATTGACGATGATGTTACACATTGTATTGGAGCGGGCAGATGAAATGGAGGCTCGCATCTAGTGTCTTGTGTGATAGAAAGGTGCCACCAAAACTTAAAAAGTAAGTTTTATTTTGATCAAGAAAACAAATGTAGATAAAGTAAGCTAAGTTTTATAAAGTGGTTGATAAACTTACTATGTTATATGGGGTGGAGTGTTGGCCGGTTAAGAATTCGCATGTCCAGAAGATGAAAGTTGCGTAAATGAGGATGTTGAGATAAGATTAGGAACAACGATATTCAGGACAAGTTAGGAGTGACATCTGATAGACACTCCCAACCTGGATAGAATCTTTTCCTTGGTCATATATCCTTACCGACAACTTATGCAAAGTCCAACTGATGTACATTGGAAGGGTGTTAAAGGAGTCCTTCGTTATCTCGCAGGCACTCCTGACTTGGGTCTGCGTATCTCACCTGGTTTGTCTCTCAACCTTGTCGGCTTTTCGGATGCAGATTGGGCTGGATGTCCCTTTACCCGAAGGTCTACCACAGGCCTATGTGTCTTTTTTGGTGTTAATTGCATCAGTTGGTCGTCCAAGAAGCAACATACAGTGGCTAGGTCTAGCGCCGAAGTTGAGTATTGATCATTGACTTTTCTAGCTACATAATTGACATGGGTCACCTATCTCTTAAAGGATATTGGCAATTCCATATTGTCCTCCATTGTTGTTCACGGATAATATCAGTGCTCTCCATCTCACGGCAAATCCAGTTTACATGCTCTCACTATACATGTTGAACTTGATTACGATTTTGCAATGGAAACCAAGTTCATTCCTTTCGAGCTTCAAATTGCAGATATTCTCACAAACTAGTTGCCTAAGCATCAATTTCAGGTGTTGCACACCAAGCTAGGTGTTGTCCGAAATCCCCACACTAGCTTGCGGGGGGATGATAGACACTCTCAACCTGGATAGAATACTATCCTTGGTCATATATCCTTAGCCGGCACAATAACTCATTGGAGGAGTTATTATACACCTGAACTTGTATAGGTAAAGACAAAGCACATGAAGGATTCTTCTGCTACCATGTCATTGTATATGAAAAGGAGATACATGGATGCCTTAGCGAGGAGGTGTGAGAGGTTGGCTATGGTGGGTATGGGATGAGGTAGAGATAGGCCGAAGAAATATTGGGGAGAAGTGATTAGAGAATACATGACACTTCTTAAACTTATCAAAGACATGACCCTAGAATGGAGGATTTGGAGGTCGGGGTTTAGGTAGAAGATTAGTAGGCAGTCGAGCGTTGTCTAGTTTCCTTACCACTATTTATTATTACTATTTTACTATCTTATTCTTTAATTTTATCATTACATGTTGTTTCCTCTACTTTAGTTAGCATATTATTTGTTGTTGATACTGTTCATGTCCCCTTTTTTAGGGCTCCTTCACTACTGTATTTCTTTTCCAAACCTACTCTGATATGCTTTACTTGAGTCGAGGATCTTTCGGAAACAACCTCTTAACTTTCTAAGGTAGGGGTAAGGTTTGCATAAACACCGCCCTCCGCGGACCTCACATCTGGAGTTGTGGTTGTGGTGATTACACTAGGTTTGTTACTGTTATTGTTGTTTTTGTGGTATTGCTTTTCTTTTAGGACTTTCACTTGGTGTGGTTGATTACTTATGGCTGGTTTATGATTTATCTCTCATAACAAAGATATAAACCTGTGCTGATCTGTATATTCTTTTGCAGGTGACAAGAAAGTCCTCTTTGCAGACAAAGTTTTGAAGTTCACAAGTACAGGGAAGATGAAGAGGCGCATTCTTCTTATAACTGATTTTGCCGTTTACATTGTGGATCCAGACATTGATGCACTTAAAAGGCGGATTTCCCTGGCAGCTGTTGAAAAGCTCTGTTTGAGTGAACTAAGTGATAATTTCTTAGCAATTATTATCCCAACTGAATATGATCTACTGATAGCCAGTACTCGGAAGACGGAAATTGTATCTGTCTTAGTAGATGCTACCAGGAGTCAATCCGACTACGAACTTGAGGTGCTACTCTCTAATAGGTAAGTGCAGTGCAATTTTCTTATTGACTTTGAACTCTCAATTGATCTTTCATCTGGCTTATCAGTATTTTAAAAAGTTTTCAGCTGAAAACGGATGCATCTGCAGATATTATTGAAGTAGCTTAGTGTGTATTGTTGAAGAACTGTGTATGAGAAAATGATCAAGGGGCCAAGACAAAGAAAGTTTTTGGCTTGATTTCAGGCCAGCATATACACTAGTGAATACTTTGTCTTGCTTTCATACTAAGGATTCAATTATTGTTGTAGAGAAAACACTGATTTGTTCCTTTGTGTCAGTTGTGTTACAATGAAGCAAATTAATCTCTATGCCTCGCTAGAATAATGAGTTCTCGATGGACAGCCCTATGCAAGCTGTGGATGACCAGAAAATCTTAATCTTGGGACATGTATGTAGATGATATGATGGATCGGAAACAGAAAAAGAGAGAGGGTGTTTGGAGCATCTCAGTAGATGTTTGCTCTTTTGTTGTTTTATTTATTTTTTTATTCCTATGATGCACTATCTGCTTCTTTTTCTCCCCCCCCCCCCCCCCCCCCCC